CCAAATACAAACTTGTTATTGTGCGTAGAACTTAGAAGAAGGAAATAAAGAAAATAATTACCAATGGCATGCAATTGGGCTGATAGCTTTCAATTTTAACACCCTGGTCAAGCTTCTTAATTTGTCCTGTTTTAAAATTTTACAGTCTTAATTCCATGCAAAATTTCTAAGAAATAGGCTATGTTCAATGGGATTTCTTCCTAAAGCAGCATTTATAGATTTATAGCTTTCGGTCTGCTTATAAGTTAAAAAAAATGAAGTGAGAACAGGAAATCCAGCTTCTTTAAAGTAAATCAATTGTGATGAGAATATGTCAACTTTGACACATTTCTTCAATAGCCAGTAAGTAACTGATGCTTATACATACACACTTACCTGCATGCATACATGCATACATGCATACATATCCTATGAAATACAAATCTGGAGAGAAGCATGTAAAAAAGCACAGTATGATGTCAAACCTCATTCACAAAAATAGAATAAAATAAAACCCTGAGTTCACTCATGAACATTGTGATCATTACACTGTGTGGTGGATTGACTGTAAATTTCATTGCAAAATCTCTGCTTAATACATAAAGCCCAGGAGTATCAGATAATAACTTGGTTTATTTTTTAAAAAAATTACATACTTCTCTTTCCCAATGGTCTGAACTCCTTCTATATGCAATTGCCAGAGACGGAGCCTGGAACATCTTGTAATGCAAAACATGTACTATAGTACTGAATTGCGGTCTCTCCCCTGATATGATGGTAGCCAAAACTAATATACAGATTACATTCCTCTTGGGTATAATTGTCATTTAAGTCTTATTCAACTCTGAGGGGCCAGAGCCTACACTCCAATATGTAGTCTAGGCTGGAATGACAAAAAATGGGGACTGAGGACAACATTCAATTAAAATTCACCTACCATATTTTTTGGAGTATAAGACGCACCGGAGTATAAGACACACCAAGGTTTTGAAGAGGCAAATTTTTTTAAAAGTAGGTAGGTAGATAGAGGGATACAGAGGGAGAGATACAGTAGGTAGGCAGGGAGAGAGAGAGTAGGTAGGTAGGTAGGTAGGTAGAGGTAGGTAGGTAGGTAGGTAGGTAGGTAGGTAGATGTTTCCATGTGCTGGAGAAGGAAATCACTGACAACCTAAGACTTGTTTCTACTGGCACAGCACTTGATCAATGTAATTCTCATAAATCATTCTAACTCCCCCGAAAGGGGGAGAAAAAAAGTTTTTGCATTCTGCAAACCCCACCAAAACAGCCTGTTTTTCACGAAAACGGGCCTGTTTTTTTTTCAAATAAAAGACATGAATAGCTGTGGGGGAGGGGCTTGCAGAGTGCTCCTGACGGGGGGGGGGAGAACAAAAAAACAGCCCATTTTTCACGAAAACGGGCTCGTTTTTGTAAAAAAAATTAGCATGCATAGTCTTATGGAGGCTTATAGAGTGCTGCTTGGGGCTGGGTGGGACACAAAATGGCTCATTTTTTGCTCATTTCTGCCCTCCCCAGCCCCCAGGAGCTCTCTGAAAGCCTCCATAAGGGTATGCATGGCCATTTTGGTGAAGGGGAGGGGCTTCGGGAAGCAAAAAAATGCTGTATTCGATATATAAGACACACCCAGATTTTCAGCCTCTTTTGGGGGGGGAAAGGTGCATCTTATACTCCGAAAAATACAGTAAATACTGTTACTATTATTATTTTCTAAGTATTTAATTAATTGTTCCCTTCTGTCATGTTAGAAATTATAGTTCTACAGCAATTTGCGGGATTTCTGGTGACATTCTAAAGATGTTGGAAGGAATGCTGTATGTTGCTTTGAGCCACAAGTCACGCACTGCTAGTTTAAAGCATGAGTGCCCAATCTTCAGAATAAGCGTCGTGGATAATGGAAGTTTGCAATACCCCCGTGGCCCTCTCCTACACTGTGCTGCTGTTTACTCTTTCTAAATTGGATGCATAACTGTGAAATGGGAGTGGTGTCAAGGATGTCCCATGACACATAACACAGCAGTGCTCTCATATACTTGAGATTTAATTTTTTTTAAATCAGTGGTTTACTTATTCCTTCTGCCACAAAAGAAGCACAGAAAATATAAATGCATTAATTAACTGATAGCTTAGCATAAATATTAATAGAAGTCCGATGCACAAACCCTGTCAACAAATACCTTGCTTTCAAGTTCTAGAAATTATTCTTCATACATTTCTTCATACAACCTATGAACTGTTGGATCATCATTTCAGAGATACTTCTTTACCTAAACTCTAAACTGCTAAACAGAATGACCACAGATGGCAAGAAAAAAAATTTAGAACTGGAGTGACCTCCAACTTCATATCAGCTTACCCATTGACTTTGCTTGTACTGTAGGAAACCACGGCAAGCCATGTCACAAATCATGCTCACGTGACTGTGGGTGACCATAGCAGCAAGGTGGCGCTAAG